CACATTCTATTAGTTCTACAGCTTCAGTTTCGGAACTTTCACGCTTAGTAACACATACAGCTGTTCCCTCACCACAGTGCAACAGTGAAAAGGGACCCCTTTCAAACAGTGTCGCGTTCCGAACGTTGTTTAAGCGACATTGCTGTATTTTAAAAATTCATATCATAACAAAAAGTAAACACCGGTATTCGGTATAAACCGGTATACCGCCCAGCACTAACTTGTAACAAAACAAATGTAAACAACCACGCTTTATACAAGAGCGGCTTACGGAAGTGCTGTTTATGAATAACCAAAAATCTCAACAGGAGAGAAAAACCTATAAACTGTTCAACTGTGGCTCACATGTTGCAGAAGAACACTTACACTTACAGAGACAGCAAAGATACTGAACCTCTGTGTGGCACGCTTTCACAGAAATCAGCAAATTTCACTTACAAAAAGAAATATCTTCACTGTAAACACTGATATACCTCACCTAATTAAAAAATAATACCTTAGTTTCTGTTCACTGACAAGAATGAGATATTTAATATTCAACCCAAACAATTTTCAAACAATTAATTGAGAGTATCACATCCGATCAGCTCTCTGAGGTTCAAAATATACAGTCTCCACTTCCAATGTACTTTTTATGTCACTGCTGAACTCCTAAAAGTTGGCACTGCAGATTTAGTAAAAGGCATATAAAACGTCCACAGGAAGTACTGATGGCCACTGCACTTTCTCAGTTGTGCTTCAGAATCACTGAAGCTCTTTGTACACTAAACCACAGTGTCTTAAAATCTAGTGACAATCTAGTGACCCGGGATTATAAGTGACTGAACTACACGTCCACATTGAGACTCACACATTAAAGCTTCAGTTTATAGTACAGATACTTGAGGAATTACCCCTTGCAACTTACATGTTAGCATTAGCAAATTAGCCAAGTTACTATGTGGAGTCTGTCAGTATGCTCCTGTGAAACCTCACAGCCTGTCTTTGTGGAAAGCTTGGCTTGCTTTTTTTCTGATCCCAGCGACAAAGCAGGATCATCTTGAAAGTGCTACGAAAAGTCTTGTTGCAAAGGGCATAGCACATAGGATTTACTGTACTGTTAACGTAGCATAGCCAATAGCCTAGCGCCCAAAGGTTCTCAGGTATGCAGCCGTTGCAGAAAGTGTTTACTAGCACCATGATGTTATAAGGCGTCCACGTTATAATGAAAGCGAAAAGGATGGCACTTAGAGTTTGCGCCGCTTTCTTTTCTTTTATTAGCGACATACGCTTCCGCTTGGTGATTTGCGTCCTTGCGCGAGCTGCGAAACGTTTAGCTAAAGCTGCCTCTTTGAAAGTTATGGGTGCTGAGGGAGATTTGACGGTGGTGTTGGTGCCGTCTACGTTCGGCTCCGTTGACGACTGTATAGCGGACATTGACTGAACTTTATTCATGATTCCGATAAACCGCTTGTCCCCATTGGTGATGGAGCGCGAGATGCTGTTATCCCTGCCGTCGTTCGCCACAGGGGACCGTAATGGATCTTCCTCTGTGTCCAAATCCTCACAAGAAGTGACCTGGGAGTTTACAGCTGCCCTCATGCCAGGCAGATTGAGAACGATAGAGAAGATCGCCCGCGTGGTAGACGGCGCGCTCTCATCATCGTCAGATGAGCCTGAGTGGTCGGCTGACAGTCCAGCATCGTTGTTGTTCCAGCTGTCACTGCTGCTCTGATCTGCCTCCCGGTGCGGCCCACCTTTATCCCTGCCTCCCAACTTCCACCCCCAACAGTGGAATCGCCCGCTCAGGCCGTGAACGGAGCTTTGTTTGTGGCCAGGTTGGCCCAGTTCGAAGCTGCTGCAGCTTCTAGAGTTCCCCCCAGTGGCGTGGAGGTGGAAGTGCGGTCGCTCGACACCTCCGAACCTTCCGACTGAGCCTTGTAATCCTGCAAGTTCCCGAGAACGGTTCTCTGTCTCTTTGTATATTCGCCAGTATAGAACGCTCATTATCGTCACCGGCAGGTAGAAAGCCGCCATCGCGGTGCAAAATGTAATAATAGGCTCGGAGAGAAACTGAATGTAGCATTTATCCAGTGGAACGGTTCTTTCTCCTACAAAATACTGCCAAAACAAAATGGCAGGTGCCCAAAGTATGAGCGACACAAACCATGCCAGGCCAATCATCACTCCTGCCCGCCTGGTGGTACGTTTGGCACGGTATGTCAGAGGCCTTGTGATGGAGAAATATCGGTCAAAGCTAATGACCAGCAGATTCATGACAGATGCATTGCTGGCTACGTAGTCTATTGCTAGCCAGAGGTCGCATGCCCAGTTTCCCATTGCCCACTGGCCCATGACAATGTAGGCGGTGTACAAGTTCATAGAGATGACCCCAATGATGAGATCTGCCACGGCTAAACTAAGCAGGAAGTAATTGTTAACCGTTTTGAGCTGGCGGTTGACCTTAAACGACACCATGACCAAGATGTTGCCGATAATAGTAATAAGGGAGAGCAGTCCTGTAAAGACAACGATGAGAATGACCTGCCAGAGTGAGTGACCACCCAGAGGATCATAGGATTGACCTTCAACCTCGACATTACTCCCATTGAGCTTGAAAACAGCACTGAGGTTGATGAGGCTTGTGTTCTGGAGCAGTGGCCACGGAGTGGATGCCGGGTAGATTCCCACTCCCAGGGCATTGGATGGTGAGTACAGGCCCAACTCGGTGCTGTTGGAGTCCATAGTGCAGGCCGGGCATATTCTGAGGAAAAAGAGCAAAATAATCACACACACACATTTCACAGTTATGTTACATGTTTGCAGTGAAACTACAGTAACTGCTCTCTATTTGAGTGGTTCTTAATCCTGGCCCTAGGGACCCCCTGCTCTGCACATTATCTCCAACTCCAACTTTATTTATAAAGCACCTAATAAAACAACTAAGTTGACCAAAGTGCTGTACAGTAAGTTCAATTAAAAGAATATAATAGCAAATAATAAATAACCATGAAAAAACATCAATACATACCATACAAGACAGACACAAAAGGGTAACTACAATGACAATACCTCAGCACTCATCCCTGATCAAAGGCTAATGAAAAAAAATGTTTTTAACTGCTTCTTAAATTCATTAAGAGATGATAATTGTCGCAAAGACACTGGCAAACTGTTCCAAAGCCTTGGGGCAACTAGCGCAAATGCGCGGTCACCTCTGAACTTTAATTTTGATCGAGGAACATGTAGGAGATTTTGTCCATTAGATCATAATGATCTCTTTGACTCTTGAACATAAATAAGATCGCAATATATGGAGGGGCAGGGATTTAAAAACAAAAATTAAAATATTAAAATGAATTCTATATAGTACTGGTAACCAATGCAACGATCTTAAAACAGGGGTAATGTGGTCATACTTCTGAGTACCTGTCAGTAGTCTTGCGGCTGAATTTTGAACCATTTGGAATCTGTCCAAAAGTTTTGTTTGAGTACCGTAATAAAGTGAGTTGCAATAATCTAATCGAGAAAAAAATAAAAACATGAATAAGCTTCTCCAAGTCTATACGTGCTAAGAAAGGCTTGATCTTACTAATCATTCTTAATTGGTAGAAGCTAGCTTTGACAACTTCACTTATTTGAGAGTTAAATTTTAAAGCACTGTCACAGATCACACCCACATTTTTTACTTGATGTTTCCTAAAAGGGCTTAATGTTCCCAAGTTAACTCCAGCCGTATCACTCATTTCAGAGGGACCAAATATAATGATCTCTGTTTTCGATTCATTAAGACTCAGAAAGTTAGCAGACATCCAAGACTTCACCTCATCTACAAAGGCCAACAAATGCCCCAAGGCACTGGAAGAATTTGGGTTAAAAGACCAATACAACTGAGTGTCATCAGCATAAGAATGAAACGACACACCATATTTATCCAAAATCAATCCTAACGGTAGCATATAGAGAGAAAAGAAAAAAGGTGCTAAAATAGAGCCTTGCGGGACACCACAAGAAATGGGTGCCAATGCCAATACAAACCCTCCCATGCAGACCGAAAAACTCCTATTTTGAAAATATGATTTTATCCATCTTAAGGCATTTCCACAGATACACCACAGATGTTTTAAGACGAGATATAAGTATTTGATGGTCAATCGTATCAAACGCTGCCGTCAGATCCAACAGTAAAAGTACAGTAAAATTTCCAAGATCAGTCGCAAGAAAAATATAATTAAAAACTCTCAGCAAAGCTGATTCAGTGCTGTGATGTTTTTTAAAACCTGATTGAAACACTTCACAGATCTCATTTGCATCAACAAATGACGTTGCGTGAGAAAGCTCTTCTCCATAATTTTAGCCAAGAATGAAAGTTTTGAGATTGATCTAATTAGCTAACACACTCTTATCCAGATTTGATTTCTTCAAAAGGGGTTGGACCACTGCATGTTTACAGTAGTCAGGCACGACCCCCGAAGACAAACTCTTATTAATTATAGACACTATAAAAGGGCCAACTGAATTTAAAACTTGCTTTAACAAATGGGTCGGAACAATAACTTGAGGAGAAGTTGTAGACTTTAGTCTGAGTATAATATCCTCAAGGATTAAAAGAGAAATTGTCTTAAAATCGGAGAAAGTAACACCAGATACCGATTGCTGAATGACATACGAACAATAACTAATGAATTTCTTACAGCCCTTTGAAATTTAGACAGAGAATCTCTAAGCATTTCATATGAAATTTGTAATTTATCTTTTTTCCATTTTCTACAAATCCGTCTTAAGGAATGAATATGCTCATTAAACCACGGAGTTAATTTATGCTGTGAACTTCCCTGCTTCAAAGGAGCGATAAAATCTACTGATTTGGAACAAACTTGAGTTAAAAACATGAACTGATTCCTCCACATCAAGATGAGGTGAAAAAAATATACATCTAAACCCTGCATTGATTCCAGAAAGGTTACATTAAAATCAACTTGAGTATTTGAATTAATTGGTCGCACCCAACGCTTTACAGAGCATCCTCTCTTTCGCTGATAAGGAAAAGAGACAGTAAAAAGAATGGGATTATGATCAGCTAATACAAAATCATCTATGATGATGTCACTGACTGTTAGACCAAGGGACAGAATCAAATTCAGTGTATGACCATGAGAGTGAGTAGAGCCTTTGACCATTTGCTGAAAGCCTAAAGAGTCTATAAGGTTCAAAAACTCTTTAGACAAAGAGCTTGATGGACAACTGACATGAATATTAAAATCTCCCAACACTAAAACTTTGTCATAATTCAGTACCACGTCCCCTAAAAAGGAAGACAACTCTGAAATAAAATCCTTATTTGGTCTTGGTGGCCGATAAAGAACAGCACAGAAAACAGGATTCAGCATCTGTATTTCAAAGGCTTGAAGTTCAAAGCTGGAAAAACGTTCGATAATAAGATGGGTACACATAAAAGAGTCCTTGAAGACAGGCCAAGCCCCCTCCTCTTCCAGTCTCTCGTGGTGAATTTAGGACATTAAAATTACTCGGAACAAGTTCCCCAAAAACATCCATATCACCAACGTTCAGCCAGGTTTCGGTGATAAATAAAAAGTCTAAGTTCCGAACTCTGATAAACTCGTTCAGAATAAAGGTCTTATTTTTTAAAGAACGAACGTTCAACAAGGCCAACCTGATTTCCAGTTTATGCTCCGACGATGCGTCCTGGCACCACTGCGAACCAATTGATACAGGGCGAAGATTCTGCAGGTTAACTCCATTGCAGTTCAAGTGTAGAGAACGCGGAAGACTGGACAACACAGGCCCTGCTGGCTCAACGAGTAGAATCCACCGTGGCACCGAGCTCACCCAATGCCCACACAGCACACGGCCACTTCTCCATCCCCAGCTTATCGCCTCTTGCGATCGCGGCAAACTCGGGAGTGATAGTAGGTAAGCCTTTAATTTCACTAGTTTATCACCTCGCTTTCCGCGGTGACGCTGTTTCTTCAGCAAGGGGGGCCAAGACTCGTAGACTCATTGCAACCACGTAGGGATATTAAGGTGCGATGCGGTCTCAGAGAATTGGAGATCTCCTCGTTCTTCTGTAACGTACTTCTCAAAGGAGCTTCTAATGTTTAAAAGTGTACAACAATCATAGATCAGTGCAGATGTAGAGTCGCGTATTAACCAAGTCACAAATAAGACAAACGACGTGATACAAAACAGAATGTGTAACCGAGGCAGACGGCATGCCATGTACATCGACGCCATCTTGGGGGGGGGGAGAAAGGGGGCCCCCAGGACCAGGGGCCGGTTGCATAAAAGGTTTAAACTACTCTTAAAAGTTAGTCATCTAATTTTTTTCTTTAAGACTGGTCAAAATTGTTCTAATTTGGTTACATAAAAACTTAGATTAGTCTAGGTTGAATCCAAAAAATAAGACTGATTACCCCCTGGCTAACTGCTAGTTGGTCAGACTAGTTCTTAAGACACTGTCTTAAAATAGTGACTAAGTTTATGCAACTGGCCCCAGGATTAAGAACCACTGCTCTATATAATGTAGTAGTGCTTCCTAAATAAATGAAAGATTGCTGTTGCTTTATATCTACACTAGAGGGCAATGTTGATCTATTAAATCAGATAAGTAGTAAACCTCCGTTTCTTTTTGTAAAGCTTGTAAAGATTCAAATAAGTCCCTTTTCAAATACAGCATACAGTATATCCTGTGAATAATGTTGCATCCAAATATGTGGATGTTGAATGCACCACATCATTTTGTGGGAAAGAAAAATAAATATTAATTCATTTTTTCAAATTAGCTTTTTCCTTTAATCTTAAAGAAATAATTTATTAATATAGGAACACATCTGTTAATTATTGAATATGTCGTATCATATAAAATTAAGAAATTCACATTTGTTATACATAAAAGTTCTCAAATTCTCAGCCGTTGTTGTTGTTGTTGTTGTTGTTTTCCTCATGTATAATGTTGTAAGGAACTTTTGGTAATGCTGATTATTGTTACACTAAAATTGTTTGCAAATATACATTTTATAATAAAAAAATAAAAACCTGGGAAAGATTTTAATTTTGCATTCTTAAACATTTAGTCTTGATTGCCTATTGCAATTCTCAAATTCTCATTAAATCTTTATAAAAGTCCTATAGAAAGGTGGTATTTCCTACTCTGTATTCACTCATAGATGATATTTCATACTTCTTCTATGGAACTTAAATTTCATTGTACAAAAGTGAAAATTACTCTTGTCCCAGGTGGATTGGACTTATAAATAAATCCAGCCTTTCTTGTAGAAAGTTTCCCCAGAACTGTCAAAACTTGTGAAACACAAACAACCTCCGGTATCTCATTAATGGGAGAAAAAGCTACTTGGTGCATTTTTAGTTCAAACATGAATCATTGTAATAAGAACCATTTAAAAGATATTAATGATAATGCTAAATTATATTGTGTCTAAATCAAAAGGAATACATCTCAGATTTTTTTAATATTTTGATGAAAGAGCATCTGAGGCTTACTTACGGGGAGAACACAAAACAAAAAAGGTTGGGAAACACTAGTCTAGAGCAACATTCTGAGCCAATGAACCTATAACACTACATTTAAAATAGATATTAAGATACTTATCAAAACGACCGTACTGTATACATAAATATTAACCTCAGTCTCACTCCATTAAATCTGAATACAATGTATGCTAAAACTAGTTCATATGCAAAAGCACAAGCTCTGCCTGTACTTTCAAATTTACATTTTTAAGACATTTACATTTAAAAGTACATTTTCAAAATAGCTATTACACTCCAGTTAAAAGCAGATCCGTCTGAGAGAGACTCTGAGCTAGCAGACACACGAACAGTAGGAGAAAATGTTAACATTGACAAAGATGAAAGATGGGAGAGGTGTTCCTTTACTTAGATTCTGCAAGAGGAAGTTGTTGCAGAGCTTTCCCAGAATGCCTCACACAAATGCAGTTAATCTCATTGATAGAGGCAGAGAATAGAATGTAACTGGCTCATGACCAAGGACGGCTGAACGTCTCATCTCTTCAGATGAAAATCTGGAGGGGGGGGTTGTATTTCTTACAAAGTGGCAATCTAACTTCAGAAATAAGTCAAAATGGCTGTTGACTGCTGCTCTAAAAAAGGAGGTCTGACAATCATAAAGCATCATTCAGCAGAACAAGCCTACATTACTAAATATAGTCATAAACTTTAAAGGGAAAGAGCTGATTTTGAACCGAGAACATATGTCTCTCTTTCAGAAGCTCTTTTTCATCTTGATAAGGCAGAGGGATGCGAGGGGAAGACAAAGATGAGAGTGAGAAGTAGGTGAGATGCAAGATTAGGGAACGACAACCTGATCACATAATCACACGGTATAATCATATTGTCGCTAAGATACCATATATGGGTTTGCATATTTAAAACATAGAAAAGAACAAATGGATATGACCACTGTTGGGCACACACACACACACACACACACCAACCAAAGAGTCAGAGGTAATTAGCTATTGGATTCAATCTCAGTTCTCCTACAGTGGAAACAAAGGGATAATTACTTTATAATAGGCAGACCAAGAATACATATATAGACAGTGTGTTTAAAACTGAGGAAGCAAAGCTGTCACAGAGAACCTGGTTTGTTTAAAACAAATGATACACTATACTAAAAGTCTGGAATAATTAAGATTTCTGTTTTTCAAATGTTTTTGAAAGAAGTCTCTATGGTCACCAAGGCTGCATTTATTTGATCAAAAATACAATTGTGAAATATAACAATTTAAACGAACTGCTTTGTAATTTAATATATTTTAAAATGTATTTATGTGATGGCAAAGTTACATTTTCAAATTTTCAGCAAACTTTACTCTAGTCTTCAGTGTCACATTAACCTTCTGCAATCAGTCTATTATGCTGATTTGGTGCTCAAGAAACATTTCTTCTTATTATTATCAATAATGAACAGGAAAAAAATATAAAATAATTCATTCAAAACTTTTGACTTTTGTAGTGTATTTAGGATAACTTTAAAAGAAAATAAATACAAACTGGCCAAATGTTGCTTAAATATAAGTTACTCGATACCAACTGCTTAATTCAGTACACAATTTTGTACAACAGTGTTTCTGTTTGTGTAATATTGCTTAAATAACCTCTATATACCAATGTTGAATACATGTTCTGCAAATAAACAACAAGAGACATCTCAAAAAGAGATATCAGTGTTTAACTAATTAAAAAAACAGTTTCAGTACTGATTGAGATAAGCCACAATCAACGCTGTTCTTCACACACCTGCACATCACTTCCATATTAAAATGCCAAGGATAATATCATCTACATTTAAGTGAAATAACTGTCAGAAGAATTGTGTTATTGTTATTATGTCATGCCTAAGAAACACCATTTATCAGAATGCAACATGGCAAAGGTGTAACAACTAAAAAGGACTTCCGTTCAGAAGTTTGGGGTTGGTTAAAAAAACAAAAAATGTGGATAAAATACAATTCAAATTCTGTGTAAATCAGTAAAGCTTGACTGCTTATAGCTTTAGGTGGTGCAGTTTGATTCATCTTTAAAGGAGATATCAGATATGGTACATAAAAATAGACTGAATAGTGTTTAAACACAGACTTTGAAAGTAAAGACTGAAAAACAAGTCAGCATTCAATGCAACAACTAAAACCTCAAAGAGAGTTTGATGTTAAATACAAGCTTCTTGTTCATTCATCAGAGTAAGATATCAATAGAGGAGAGGGAATCAAGCAACACAAGATAAAGTCAAAGAGAAGTCTAATTAACATTGGGCTCCAATTTGGGCCCCTGCACTCCTGTGTTCAGCTCTGTGCTTTTATCCTATTAGGGTTGTGCTATGACCTGAAACACACACACAAGCTCAGATGAAGGATAGCAAACACATTTTGTACAAAACTAGTGACACGCATAGTCGTAATTCCATTAAGTTGTGGAATTTGGGAATTGTCTTAATTTCGGCTGATCCGCAAACAGCAGCCGACGAATGGGCTGTTGTCATGGTGACCAGGGAGGATGTGGAGGGAAGCGTGAGGGGCACACGACAGCAAATGCGGTTTGATGAAGCCTTTTATGACAGAACTAGAATCAAACGAACATCTGGAGTTTACATGCATGACTTCAAACGTACTGTACATCAAACATAGTTTTTGTGTGTAAAACCACTCCTCTTCATATTTAAAGATTCATTTGCAAGTCTGATGATGCCATAAACACGCATATTCAAAAGTGAAATACGTCTGTGGAGATAACAGACTAAAAACTTCAGTGGCTGCTTTTGTTTTCATGGTCTTCTGTGGGAAAACACACTTATCAGTAAAACAGACCGGCATGTTTTGGTACCGTCCCCCCTGGCCTGGTAGTTAAGTGTGAAGAGAGTGTGTTGTAAGAGCTCTCTCTCTGTGTGTGTGTGTGTGTGTGTGTTGGGTATTTCGATGTAAGGCATGTGCTGTAAATGAGGATTTCAAAAGAATGATGGTTAAATGTCAACACGTTCTTTTCCAGAGTTTGAGGGAGATCCGTGATCACCTCACATGGCCTTTGACCTACAGAAATGTCAGTGGTGAACGCATGCAGAACCTTGATCAATATGCCTGATTAGAATTGGAATTAATCACTGGCACGGGTACAATTATAGACGAGAAGCCATAATTATCTCTCAATATCTCAATACGAAAGTCAAAGGAGATCAGTGAAGCATGAGATACTGCTCTCTAACAGATTATTTACTGATCTCTTATGATTAAAAGTGATGGCGAGGGATTCGTCCCAGAGCAGCCTCCTTCTCCTTATTTTACCTCTGCATATCATCCTCTGACATTCTACCAATATATTTTTTTAGTCCTTTTCAGTTCAGTTGAAGGCGAAGTGAGAAATATCACCAAATGCCACTAAAAATAATGAAATACAAAAAACTATTAAATAAATTAAATAAATATGAATAAAAATGTTACATAATTATTCACTTGTTTTACATGAAGATGTCAAATTAATAAGATTCTGCACTATTTCTAGATCATTCATCAAAGAAGTAGACTTGTGGCATTGTACAGATGGTCAGATGCTCTTGTTTCCACTAAGGCTCTAGCAAATTAGGATTGGAGTTCATGCAGCTTGAAGGTTGCTGTTATTAAAGCAAATTGAGAGAAAAACCAAATACTAAGACATTCTGGTATTAATGCAGATTTTTCCAATCAACTTTTAATTGTTACACTGATAATATCGTTTATAAAGCGAAAAAAAAAAGCAAAATAGAAGCTTTTTCGCTAGTGGACCCCACTGTACATTTGTTTATATTGTTTATAATGGTAATTCATTCAGTGTAAACTTTGCTAATTTACTAAATGTATTCACTATAACAAGACTGACAAGACTTGATGGTTCTTCATCTCGTCTATCTGCTTTTTGATTTCCTCTTTATCTG